ATATTAACTAATAAAAATAATATTAATATAAAAGATAATATAATTAAAACAAAAGTTAATAATAAAGTTAAAAAAGAGGAAATATTTATTTAGTATAAGATAATTAACATGATAAGCTTAAAAAACCTTAAAAAATTAGATTTCAAAAAAAGAAATTAATTTATACTAAAAAAGCTTATTTTTAATACTACTAAAAACCTTTTTAACTCTAGGAAATCTACTTTACTATTTAAAATTTATTAATTTAAGATTTTTATTAAATTTAAAGTTCTATTTCTTTTTAAGTTTAAGTTAAAGTTTATTCTTAATATTTATATTTATATATTTAAAACTTATAATTTTATTATTAAGTTTATATTATAGTTTAATAGTAATATTATAAAATTACTACCAAAAAAGCTTAATAAATTATATCAAAATTATTAAGTTATTATTAAAAATTTAAATTTATTTTATAAGTTTAAATAAAATATAGTTTTAAAGAAAAGTTTTAAGTAATACTTATTAATTATTAATAGTATTTTACATATTAAGATAGATTTATTAGTATTATTACTAAAGATATTAAATTAAAAAAATAACTAAAACTGATAATAAATATTACTAATTTAAAATATTTATTATACAATTATATATTTATTATAGTTACTTATTAATAGTGAGCTAAAATACTACAAATATTACTCTTTTAACGCTTTATGTTACTATCTTAATACTTTATATATTTTATAATTAAATAAAGTATTTTAGTTTAATCAATAGTATCTTTTATATTTAAGATATTTTAAATTATATTTAGTATATCTCACTTTATAATATTAATTTTATAAATAGTATAGTTAGATAATAATAACTATAATATTATATTAAATTAGTTAATCTTATTTAAAATATAGCTTAAGTAATATAATATATGATTTATATTAATTTAATAGCTTGACTTAATACGAATAGAACTTTATATATAAAAGTAATAAATATAAGTTACTTTTTTAAAACTATAGTATAAATAAAAATGTTTACTTATTTCTAAATATAACTACTACTTAAATAGTAATAATAAGTATTATTATTACATTAATAGAAATATAAACCTTAAGTATTATTAAATATCTAAAAATATTATAGCTAAATAGGTATTAGAAATTATAAAAAATAATACTACTATTAAAAACTATTAGCTTTAACGCTTAAAATAATTAAAACCTCAGCTAATTAAAAAAAATAAAAAAAAATAGTATTAAATTAAATAGTATTAAATATAGTATTAAATAGTTAAATAACTTAAAAAATACTCTTTAAGTATTATTAGCTAGAGGTAAATTTTATTTTATAAATTAGATTAATATATTACTACTTTATGTATTATATATATAGTATTAATATTTATAGCTAGCTATATTATTAACCTCTTCTATTAGTTTTATTATCTATTTTTATAAAGTTATCTATAGAGGTTATAATATTATTACTAATAAAAGTTAATATTTCTCTAGCTATATTTTATTATAAAATATTATTATTATTATTATTACTATTATTATTAGTTATATTTAAAAGTAAATTTACTTTTAATTTTATTTTATAATTTTTTAAATAGTTATAAAGAAATATATGATTTAATATTATAAAATAAAATATAGCTTTTTATTAATTATTAATAAATATTAAAAATAAAATAATTAATATCTATTCATTTTAAGAATTAGATATAAAATAGTTTAAACCCCTTACAATTTTATTAGATTTTATATTTATAATTAAAAATAAAAATAAATAGTTTTTAAGTAATATAGAAGTTATAAAATAGCTTATTATTTTTATATTTAGGTTTAACAAGTTAAATAAAGTATTATAAAAAGATTTAACTAGTATATTTATATATAGACTTTTAATATGGACTAAAAAGTAACTTATTTTATAAAAATAAAAAGTAAATATTTAAGAATAATAGATTCAAAGAGTAACAACTTTAATAATAAAGTTAATAATATATAATTTAGATTTATTTTATTTATTTATTTACTATTCTTAATAACTAAGTTTATATATAGTATATTTAACTAGTTTATATATATATATATATATAAAGAGATATAAAGAATAATATATTATTAACTTTATTAAAACTATTTAATAAATTATTATAAGAAATATTGATTTAAACGTAATATTATTATTAAACTAAACTTATAAGTCTTTTTAACTAATAGTACTAATGTTTATTTTAAAAAACTATATGAAGCTTCTTAGTATATTTTTATATTATTTCAAACTATATAAAATATATATATTAAATAAATATAGAAAGCTATATTATAAATCTCTTTTTCTATTTTCTAATAAGTATTATCTTAATTTCTTATAATAGTAATATGAACACTTATTAGTTAATTAATATAAAATAAAATAACTAATCAAATTAATAATATCTCTATAAATAAACTAACTATTATAAAACTATTAGATTTTTATTTTTATTTTTATTTAATACCTCTCTTAAAATATTAATTATGAATAAACTATAAATATATATTATTTATTAACAAATTATTAACAAATAAGCTATATACACATAAACTTTCAAACTAAACATTATTGATAAGCTAAGTTGTTAAAAGATTAATTTCTATTATCAACTACTAAACCTTATGAGCTAAAACTTAATGATAAAAATAGTTACTATATAATATAAATCTATTATATTTAACGCTTTTTTACATATTATAAACTCATAACCTCTTAAAATATATAAATATATAGATTATATATAGTTATCTATTACGTTTAATTATAATTATTAGTTTTCCCTTTAGTTTTTATAATTGTAAGTTTTTTTCTAGCTATAACTAATTATATTATTAAGTTAAATATATTTAAAAGAATATTAATTATCATCCCTATAATAAATATTATTAATAAATATATAGGTATTAATATATTTTATTACTATATAATTATTACGCTTAAATATAATTTAAATAGAGAGATATATATATAGTTAAACTAATAGAAATATAACTTAAATAATATATAGTTATATTATATTCTTCTTTCTATATTAAACTGTTACGATGTCTAATTTATTATTTAGTAAATATTTTAGAAATAAAACTATTGTGAAGTTTATGAGCTTATAACTTTATAATATTTTATATTTAAGTTTTATTTCTCTTATTACTAAAGAAATTCTCTTTTAGTATATTAATCTTATAATAATTAAAGTAGTTTATAATTAACTCTAAAAATAAACGAATAATAATAACTATTTTATACAAAACCATGAAAAAAAATATTTATTATATATTTATTTATGATATATAAAATAATACTATAGATATATTTTTAAGTTATTAAAAAACGCTTTCATAAAATCATAATCCAATAAATATAGAGATAAATAAAATAGATAAATATTAATAATATTATATACTATTTAAAGCTTTATCATATAATATTAATCTACATTATTTATAACTAAAACTATGTTTTATTTTAAAAATAAGTTTACAACTAATAATACTAAATATTTAATTTAATATAGAAAGCCTTTTAGTTTATATAGCTAAAATATATAATATAGTAAAGAATATGATTAAGAGTAAGTATTAATAATATATAATATTATTCTCTTTATTTTAGTATACTTCTTTTTAAAAGTTAAAAACTTTTTAGTAATTATATTATTCTTTTAATTTTATTATAGTAATTAATATTATTTTTATTAATAAAAATAACCTAATTAGCTTTAATATAATAAATATTCTGTTAATATTTTAAGCCTTTTTTATTATCTCTTTATAGAGCAATATATTTAATCTTTTTTTTTACTATTGTATTACTTTTAAGTATTATAAAATTATAGAGATTAATACTTTTAAATTAAACTTATTAATAAGAAATATCTATAACTTGTTAAGATAGATATCTAACTTATTATATAATAACTTAAATATTATTTTTTTATACAATAATATTAACTGATCATTATTAAAACTTTTTAATTAACATAGCTTTAATATATCTCTTATAACAATAAATAAAATATAATAAAACTAAAATAGTACGTTCTATATATTAAACTATATTTATTATAGTTATTATACTAAAAAATTTAACTAATAGAAGCTTTTTAAATAACATTTTTTATTTTATATTAAGAAGTAGTAATATTATTTAATATATATAAACTATTTATTTAACTAGTTTATATCACTTTATTCTAATTTTAATATATTAGTATATAATAAAATTAATAAAAAAATAAAAGCTAAAGTATGCTAGTTAAATTTAAGCCATTCATATTATATTATTAATTTATATTATAATCATAGCTATAGCTTTCTATTATATCTATATATTATGTATAATAAGAAGTATAAATACAAAAGTACTACTTTATCTATCTAAGACTATTTTAATTAATAATTAAACCTATAACTATTTAATTTTAATAAGCATAATTTAATTTTATAATTTATAAGCTTAAGCATAGCTAGAAATATAGCGTTAATAAGTTCTATTATAAGAAATATATAATTATATTAATAATAATATTAATTTAAATTTATAATACTAACTTATATAATTATTATATATTATCTATAATTAATTAATAATAGTAGAAATAATAGAAAATAATAAAAAGACGATACTAATTAATGTTTAAGGTAGTAGTGTAGTTAAAACCTAAAAATCCCGCATTTACAGGGGTTTCAGCAAGGGCAAACGCAAATGAGTGAGTGTATCCATTAGGTAATCAAGCATGCGGCGGAGTCTTGCAGGCACATCTACCTTTCCTGCCGCTTAAGCCGACGAGGTAATCGCCCGCAAAGCATCATCCCACCAGTTGATCGCGATTGGAAAAACTCATCTGCATGCTCTATGGTGTGTGTCTACTAGCCCACAAATGGGGACCTATCGGTCTTTTGTACCACCACGGGTTGTCCTCGTGGCATCGTCGACTCTCGTTTGCGCAGGACGCATGCTTTGACTTATTTTTACTCGACCTTTTTGGCCTTCACCACTACAGGAATTGAGGATATTGACCTTGGCCATACCAGCCTATACTCATCTTCTCGGCCTTCGAGGCATCTTCGTAGCCATATGCCCCACGTGATGTAGTAATAAGCTGACGCATAGTTAGCTCAGACACTTCAATCACATACTTCTGCCCTCAAATGCCGGGGTGAACGGCGCATACCTCCTGAAAGTAAGGTTAGTTACTGGACAGACATGCCATGGGAGGGGAGATCTACCAAGACCTGTCATTAAATGCCACCAGGCATGACCCTCGAGCAACGCACCCCAAGGAAACCCAAGCTGGCGCCGTAACCTCCTGATATGGCTGCACAGAGAATTGTCTAGGTTCCAGATGAGAAAGCCACTGAGAAACACGCCGAGCCCTATGCATCAAAGTTAAGCATGATTCACCAATTCAAAAGAATCGGCCAACAACAAACCGGTGGCGACCATGATCCACATGGTCTTGAGGACACTGCTGGCCTTGGTGCTGTTCCTTTTAACGAGAACTGGTCTCAATTGCGTTTCCATCACGTACAAGCTCCGAAATACTACCTGTATAGGACTCAGCAATAGTGTCGAGCACGACGCATTGGGTCAAGTATCACCGTAGCTGTCAACGCCGCATAGCAGCTCTGGTGGAAAACAGGGTCTTTTGTGACGTGATAGTATACCTAACAGTAGCGATATTAGCCAGTGCCCGTCACTTCTCGTGGACGCCGGCTGGGTCATCGCAGTACATGACATACCGTAATAAAACCGGCAAGAAGCGTCAGACCGCAGCCTAAGAACGCGGAAAATCGACCTGATCTTGAATACGAAAAGGTAGCAAAAACCATGAGGCACGTGGTGTAAATCATGGAAAGTTCGTCGATAAGCTGCATGGGATCTGAGACAGTCGTTAGTGCAGGGTTGACGATGTGTGAGCATGGGGTGAGCAGGAACAAGAGGGGGCTGAATAAACACTGAGGAGCAGGACGGGAAACGCCGTACACTTAAGTGAGGTGTGGAAGGCAGTTGATCCAAGACCAACGATGATGTAGCCCATGTAAGCTATAAGAAATATGCGTGGGTGGTCTTGTGATATACAGTTGTGGATTCCCTTCAAGCCCAGCCACATGAAGAGAAGGTTCGTGAATGTCTGTAAGGCAGGATTTTCTGCATTAGAAAAATTCACATGCTCGTAACTGACCCATGAATTAAAATACCAACTCACATTGCAAACTTCGGCGCAGTAGTACGACACGACATAGTCCTTGGAAGAGGTGAGCCAAATTTGAGAGCGGCGTTGGGGCATGCTTGTCCGGCCTGGAAGTCGCCTCATACCTCTTCGCAAAAATTCAAAGTGGATGTCTTCTCGCCCCAAAAGCCATCCGTAGTGCCGTCATTGTAGGACAGGCGCAACGCCTGGAACAGCGGTGCCGCCGCCATCGACTAGTCTGTATGTCGATAGAATCTGGTCAGGCGAGCGGAGTCGTTTGAGTGTTGGGCACAATTATGTAGACCGGGGAATGGCTCTCCCGAGCTGTCGAATCGTCCACAGACGCAACTTTGTTGTGTTGGCTACGTGGGCTTTCCCGAGGAAGTTTCGACGGCTGGGTCAAAGTGTCCAGTGGTTCGAGTTGCTGGGCTGAACCAAATACACCGAGCGACGGCGAGGAACTGCGACTTCGAGGTCGAGAAGTCGGAGAATGGGAAAGAAGAGTATGAGTCGAGAATACAAGAGGAAGAAAAGATCGTGCTACTCCGGGCGAACCGGAAGCGATGTTACGTGAGTGAAAATGAAGTTGGCCGGGGTCAGCGGCAGAGCAGGACCTGAACGGTCCAGGTAAGGAACGTGAGGTGAGACTCGGACGGCTCAGTGAGGGGACACTCGTTCAGATCAGAGAAGTTGGATTGGGATAGATGGTAGAGAGGACCAAGTCATTGGTTATGGACAACTCGGGACATAGTCTGCGGGGGGGTTCCAACGAGTAACGTGTCTATTCAGCCAGACCAAAATACAAGTTCGGCGGACCAACGGACCTTGCCAGGTACTGCACTTTGAGAAATGTAGGAAGACGAGGTCAGGTTGGCACCTGTCCAAGCGTCTGGTCCATGGACGACAAGGTAATCCGAGCCAGGTCCGCGTCCGCGTCCGCGCCCGCGCCCGTCGCTGCCAATTGCCAGTTGGGTGGGTTCCGCATGTCGCAAGCACGACTCGGGTTGGCTGCAGCTGTGGCAATATCAGTACCAACTGATGGGCTTGTGCGACGAGTTCCGAGGCTAGGTAGGCAGGATGACGTCGAGCAACGGCATGTTGGCTTACATAGCCAGGCACGTTGAGTCGGCAATCGACAAGATGCGATAATCGGGTATGTATTAATGAGCACCAAGTAGAAGTTATCCGATATAGGGGTATGCACTAAGTAAGTAGGAGGTGGTGTCGTAAGGTAATGCCAGATACGTCACAGTACGTGAACCAAAGTGCCTGACGTACAGAGTACCCGAGCTAGTAACTTAACTCAGGGTGCGGTGCGCATTCTGCAGGGCACCCCAGCTACAATCACGATTCGTTCCACCTTGCCTTGGGTACAATCATCTGGGCAATACTCCACGTAAGATCCAACAACACCGGACACCCGCCAACCCGACATTGCTCCGGTTCCCTTGCATACCACGGTCCTTACAATCAAACAGTCCAGCACCCAAACCGTCTGTCGGTGTCGGCTTCGTAACTACAGCTTGGAGTCGCGCCACTGCCTCGCCGGTCGACTTGTCGCGTCCAGATTTGTGTGCCCCGTTCATTTGGCCATCTTTCGGCCCGTACTTCAAACCCGAAATGTCCATGCCGGCCGCATTTCGCAACAGCCAACAGGCCTAGACGGTTCAAGTCATATCATTGTGATATATACTCACATCCGCATCAGGCTCCATCATGACAGCACCCGCTAAATCGTCACGATGGGGTTCGTTCCTCCAGCAAGCCGTTGCTGGCGTTGAGGCCCGCCTCGATAACATCCTGGCGGAGGGCGAGAATGGCTCCCTCCAACAGCCAGGACAATCCCCTCAGCGCCCTGCCACTCCTTCTAGAGGAGAGCCGCAGCAGATTGGTGAGCCACACACTTATTCGTGGGCTGGTGACGCTTCGCCTGAATCTCGCCTCGATTGCCTTGCCCCGCGATACTTTGAAATCGGTTGCTGACTGCTCCTTGACATAGGGCCATCCCGATCCTCAACCAGCAGCCGCACGAATGACCGCCTACAAGAGCGCTTGGCGAAAGCCATGGCATCCAAGAACCCTCAGTCCGCAGATGCTCGCAGCGCCACGTCAGATTGTCACAGTGCCAGATTGAGCGTTGAGAGCGCGCGTTGCGATACTATTACTCCTCAGAGCGAGCCTACCTTCGCTTCGAATATCGCCTCCGCCGCTCTCCCTGCCGCCCTCCATGAGTCCAACCCGACGTCTGGAATCAGCCGGGAATCTGGGATAGCAGACCAAGTTCACGACGAACTTGCTACGATTGAAAAGTTGCAGCAGAGCCAAAGCCTGCCGAGTATAATACTTGGCGAATCTGAGAGCACACTTCAGAACAACACCGCTTCTGTGAGCACTTCTGTTGGCACTTCCGCTGGACTGCCTGGAATGCCCCTCTCCAAGCCCAGCGCAAACGGCATTGCACACAATTCCGGCACTAAATGCAGCCATTGTGTCGACCTCGAGACCCAGGTAAAGTCGCTGGCAGCTAGCTGCGAGCAAGCAGCGAAGGAGCAACAGGAAGAAATACATCGCCACGTTGAACAGTTCGAGGCTCTGCAGGCAAAAGTGCAATTCTTGGCGAAAGAGGCGACTGACGTCGCTCGAAAGTCTGCTGCAGAGGCTCAGGCTGGGAGTCAGGAGCAGAAACTGGCTGAGAGAGATGAAAAGATTGCGCTGCTCATGGAAGAAGGGCGAAATTTGGCAGCCACTGAACAGAAGCACCGGACCATCATCAGAAAGCTTAGATCCCAGATTGTCAGTGATGAAAAGGCGACATCAGAGTTGAAAACGCGGTACGAAAAGACGACGGCGGACTTGGAAATGTTGCGCTCAAGAGCCAGCCGGGTAGATGAGCTCGAGCACTTGAATCAGGAGCTGCAAATTCGCATTAATGGCATGCAGGACGACCTCAATGCCTTGCGTGCGGGGGCGATCGCCGATAAAAACACAATAGAGAAGTTGCGGGCGGATCTTCAGAAGGCGACGGACCAGGAAGACTCAGCATTCGCGAAAGCTAACGAAGAAGCATTGACTATCGAGAAACGTCGAGCAAAGGACCTTGAAGACACGATAGCTGCTTTGCAGGTAGAGAAGACTTTGGTTGCTGACAGAGCGAAGGCTAGCGCCGCCGAGGCGGAAGAAACGGCTTCACGTGCGACGGAGCGAGCCCGCATCACGGAAGTGGAGATGAAGGCAGAGCTTCAGGTCCTGGAGGGCAAGCTGGAGGCAATGCGTGCTTTGGCAGAGGAGGCTTCTTCTGGCGCGGTGGGCGATTCTCAGGCGAAGCTACTGCGGCAGGTGGAAACCTTGCAGACTCAACATGCGATTGCTACAGAGAATTGGCAGGGGATCGAAGCCAGCCTGCTCGCTCGACTCGGTAATCTAGAACGGGAGAGAGACGATGCCTTGCGAAGGGAATCCGAAATGAGAAAAAAGGCTAGAGAAACCGTAAGACACTCTCCATTGATAACGTTCAACCCACCTCTTTCTCCAAACTTGCACAGGACATCTTGCCTCGCAATGGACTGCGAATACTGACGTCTCCACAGGCAACTCGATGCAAGCGTCAAGATGAGGAGATACAGGAGCTTAAGAACAAATTCCCCAACTACCAGCGGGATGCTGAGGCATATCAATCTCGTATCGATGTTTTACAACAACGAGCAGATGACGCCGAAGCTGCGCTTGCGCGGGCAAAACTTGACTCGGAGAAGCAACACGCGGCGTGGAGGGCAGAGAGGACCGAGTCTGAACGGAGACCATGGCTCGAAGACCACCTCTCGAACTCAATATCGAGGATGCAGAGCAGGCCAGACTCGCCTCTACTATCTGTTCCCACCCGTACTTTGAGCAATGATCTACTCATGCTACAAAGTGCCTCAGGAAAGAGCCGCAAAATTTCAAACCCCACGAGTGGAACAGACGGTGTTCACGAAGGCTCTTCTCCAGGAAGACGATTATCTGCCCATCCTCCCTCAGCGCCATTCTTGGCATCCGGCGCGCCGAGCCTTCCAGGTTCAGCATTCGTCCCATCCTTTGACTTAGCACCAGACTCGCTGCCTACGCCGACATCGCACGCAGGCGAGAAGGACGATCTATTCGACGGTGTGGAGACGACCTCTTCACCAAGGCAGATGATGCAAGATATGGTGTCCGTATCAACTGTTGGGGCGGGTCCCTCGGTCCAGCTGGTCGAGAGGATGAGTGCCGCGATCCGTCGACTTGAGGCTGAAAAGGTAACATCGCGCGAGGAGCTTGCGCGAATATCCGGGCAGAGGGATGAGGCAAGAGCAGAAATAGCCACTTTAATGAAAGAGATGGAATCCGGTAAGGCGGCATCAAAACGGGTGGCTGAGCTGGAAGGCCAGGTCGAGGACATCAATTCCAGGTACCAAATGACGCTAGAAGTACTAGGTGAGAAAAGTGAGCTGGTGGAGGAGCTCCGCGCTGATGTGCAAGACGTCAAGGCCATGTATCGCGATTTGGTAGAGCGCACGGTCAGGTGACGAATTCGGCTATATTCTGGACTAAGCACGTAATAGTCCGCATAGGAATGATGAATATGATTCCGATGCGTGTTTATGTTTGGACTGTATTGATTATGGCTTCACAGATGGTGGTAGTGTGGCCTCCTTGGTTCAGAGGTCTATGCCTTCCCCTTCGGCGGCACGCTCGATGTAACGGCGAACCTGCGACAAGATCGGTTTAGTTTGGGGACACAGTTCGGAGGAATGGGGATAGTCTAGGACCACACAACCTACCTCTTTATCTGGCGCCAAGTCAAGGGCCAGACAGCCATCTTGGTCCTTTTTACCATAGTCTGCGCCAGCCTTCAGTAATGCTACGGCTGCGTCGCCTGGTAATTGAAATGTTAGGTAGTGGATAAAAGAGTGGCACAAGTTACACATACCGTGTCCTTCAGCAACGGCATGGTGTAAAGCGGTATACCCCGAAGTGTCGGTTGCATCGAGAGGGCTTTTATTGTTGATGAGCAGCCTCGTCATGGGGATTGAGCCCACGGCCGCGGCCCGGTGAATAGGATATTGGCCACGCTTGTC